TATGATTTCTAGGTGATACCAAGTCACAAAGTATACAATGTATACTTTCTCATTTTTTAATTGAAAATGTTTCCTTAAAGCTTTAGGAGAAATTCCCTAGCTCTAAGGTTTTACAACTCCTCTAACCAACAAACCTCCCAAGATCTCATAGCCACCATTGTTCCTATTGACTGCCCCAATGCCAACATTCTGAATATCCACAGAGTAAAGGCTTAATTACCATATTTTAAAATTAATTCCATCTTGTCAAAATTATGTCATGCTCTCCCACTGTCAAAATCTGTACTCATTACACTGGGGTTAATATCTTACATTGAAAAAGCAAGAGAGTTCCAGAAAAACGTCTATTTCTGCTTTATTGACTATGCCAAAGCCTTTGACTGTGTGGATCACAATAAACTGTGGAAAATTCTGAAAGAGATGGGAATACCAGACCACCTGACCTGCCTCTTGAGAAACCTGTATGTAGGTCAGGAAGCAACAGTTAGAACTGAACATGGACCAACAGACTGGTTCCAAATAGGAAAAGGAGTACGTCAAGGCTGTATATTGTCACCCTGCTTATTTTACTTATATGCAGAGTACATCATGAGAAACACTAGGCTGGAAGAAGCACAAGCTGGAATCAAGATGGCCAGGAGAAATATCAATAACCTCAGATATGCAGATAACACCACCCTTATAGCAGAAAGTGAAGAGGAACTAAAAAACCTCTTGAAAGTGAAAGAGGAGAGTGAAAAAGTTGGCTTCAAGCTCAACATTCAGAAAACTAAGATCATGGCATCTGGTCCCATCACTTCACAGGAAACAGGTGGGGAAAGAGTGGAAACAGTGACAGACTTTATTTTTTGGTGCTCCAAAATCACTGCAGTGGTGATTGCAGCCATGAAATTAAAAGACGTTTACTCCTTGGAAGTAAAGTTATGACCAACCTAGATAGTATATTAAAAAGCAGAGACATTACTTTGCCAACAAATGTCCATCTCATCAAGGCTATGGTTTTTCCAGTGGTCATGTTTGGATGTTAGAGTTGGACTGTGAAGAAAGCTGAGCACCGAAAAATTGATGCTTTTGAACTGTGGTGTTGGAGAAGACTCTTGAGAGTCCCTTGCACTGCAAGGAGATCCAAGCAGTCCATCCTAAAGATCAGTCCTGGGTGTTCATTGGAAGGACTGATGCTGAAGCTGAAACTCCAATACTTTGGCCACCTCATGCGAAGAGTTGACTCACTGGAAAAGACCCTGATGCTGGGAGGGATTAGGGGCAGAAGGAGAAGGGGACGACAGAAGATGAGATGGCTGGATGGCACCACCAACTCGATGGACATGAGTTTGAGTAAGCTCCAGGAGTTGGTGATGGACAGGGAGGCTTGGCGTGCTGCGATTCATGGGGTTGCAAAGAGTCGGACACGACTGAGCGATTGAACTGAACTGAACTGAACTGAATATCTTACCACATTCTTATATCTCCATCTTGTTCTCACTACTTTCAAATACACATTATCCAATTCAAACTTGTGTGACCACTGTTACCTAAACATTTGCAAAATATCATTAGAATAAACATTAAGTTAAAACAACATCTATTTGATTTTACTTGGATCATAAGACCTGTGTATTCATAAAGTGGTGGAAAAGTACTATTTCCATCTTTGCTTAAATTTCAAAGCATTTTTATCTGGAATTCAAATAAGTTTTTTTGTGTGACAGTGGTGAGAAAAATCAGGTGCAATTATTTAATCTCTTTAAAATTCTGGGATGAAATTAAATATTCTGCAGATGAATGAAGACGGTAGTCATAATGTTTCAACTGTGTATATGTGACCAACTGACCCAGTGAATAACTCTAACATACAAGGTTTGAACCAGCTAAACCCAGTTCTATATTTTGATCTGTATTCCTGTTAAGCTATCTTGAGTGCCAAGTCACTTCAGTTCTCTGACTCTTTGTGACCCCATGGACTGTAGCCTGCCAGGCTCCTCTGTCCATGACATTCTCCAGGCAAGGATACTGCAGTGGGTTACCATGCCCTCCTCCAGATGATCTTCCTGACCCAGGGATCAAACCCATATCTCTTATGCCTCCTGCACTGGCGGGGGGGTGGGGGGTGGGGAAGGGGGGTTTACCACTGGTGCCACCTGGGAAGTCCGTTAAGCTATCATTGAGCATCAAACCATTTCTTTTCTAATATAATTGTGGGGAAAAATGATGGTTTTGATGGCATTTCATGACTATGTCTTAATTATCTAACTAAAAATATATGGTACTTAATATTCTAAAATGCAAGAATAGGTTTTACCTACAAAATAAACATTTAGTTATACCCTAGAATAGATAATTTCTTGACAGCTTAAAATAGGCTGAGCGTATATTTGGAAAAAGGTATGATAAAACACACATTCATTTATTACATCTTACAACAAACTGGATTCACCACTGAGGAACTCTTCTCTCGTGCTTTTGCAACATTCCACTACTGTTTTCATTATTTGAAAACACATCTACATTGACTCAGTCTTTTAATAACTGGGACATTCTATGAATTCTAATTTATAATTAAATCTACCCAGGTTAAAATTTGAATTCATTTAAGAAATATATAAAAAAAATAAATTTTTAGAAAAATTTAAATTATGCTTTAAAATGCTTTAAAATTAATTATGTTTTAGAAAAAATTTAATTATGCATTCTAGAGAAATGATTCCAAATGTGGGTAATATTAATTTTGAATCATAGAAATGACTATCAAGTAATGACAGTTTTAAGGCTAGATCTCAAAAAGTTGGTGAGGACATTGAAAGGACTAGTTAAGTCAGACAGCAACTTTCAAGCTTTAGAATGATTGTGCTAGTCGTACAGTTGTGTCCGAATTTTTGTGACCCAATGGACCCACCAGGCTCCTCTGTCCATGGGATTCTCTAGGCAAAAATACTGGAGTGGGTGGCCATTTTCTTCTCCAGGGGATTTTCCCAACTCAGTGATCAAAACTGAGTCTCCTGTATTGCAGGCAAATTCTTTATTGTCTCAGCAACCAGGGAAGCCCATTAGAATAATTATATATTAAAAAATTAATTTTGTCAAAGAATCACGCTTATTAGAACTGTACTACACAAGTTTTACTTTAGTGTACGGACACAGTCTTAATGAATACTGAAGAACAAAGTGGTTGGTGATACTGAGTTCTGCATTATTTAGGACAAGACTTTTCACTGGGGTATACATTGTTTATTCAATAAGGCAAATATAGTGGTAAGTAACTGATTTGTAACTTAAAAAAATATTATCAATAATATATTCACAAATCCAGCAAAGTTCGTGAACACCAACTCTGAGCAAAGGATTTACAAGGATGAAGAACCCTCTCATTGCAGACCCAGATTGTCCATGACAAATCTGGGCAAAGGTCTGTGCTCTGTTGCGATTGTTTTATCTTTGGTTTACAATGCTTAGCACAGTGCCTGGCACATAATACTGGCAATTAATATTTGTATAATAATTTGATTAAATTAATAAGAGCTTAGGCTACATTATGTGGCACTATTGTATAATAATAATAATATACTGTGTGTGCAACTTACATTAAGTAAAGCTGAGTTCACTCAAATATCTAAGTCTAAAAAGATAAATGCAAGTACCTGGCAGCTCATTTAAACAACAGTAGCAGAACTAAAGAACTAAAAAGTAAATTTTATCACAGGTAGAAGATGTGAATAACTCTGATTACTTGTCAATAGCAAAAGATGTTGAATGCAGACATTTTCTCTTTCTTCTTTGGATCAGCAATCAGACTTCCTCACAGATCACTCATTCATGAAGAGAATTATAAACTTTGCATTTTCAAGTATCCAGTGCCTCACAAGTTTCTCTATTACAAGTGTATCCAATCATCTCTTTTTTTCTGCTGTTGGTATTACTGTGACTTTTAGCCACACATGAGGTAAGAGTTTCCTTTATGGACTCAGGTTCCTTTATCAATATTTTCTTCTTTAATTAACAAAAATATTTCTTCCTTTCCAGTGATACAGGATTATTTACGTGGTTAATATGTGCCCATAAGGTCAAGTGTGTCATATAATGCACAGAACAAAGATTAATATTTTATGAATATGTAAGCAACTTGAGATGATTCAATTATGATATACCTGCAATGATTTCTGCACCTTGATTTATTTTTCCGGAAAAGTATATAAACAAAAGTACCCATCAAATCTACAAGTTTCAAATGGAAACCTGCTAAAGTTTTGTACATTTATCTAATGACAAATGCATAGGAATTAAAATCCTTAGAGTAATTTCACTCAATCTGTGAAAATAACATGGCTCATAATTTCTTCAAGATGAGGATAATATGTGGGAGATTTTAATATTAGATAGTTAAGTTAAATGGCAAATTGAACTTCAATATTTACGATGAAATTTCTGATAAGCAACAATTTAGGAATTAAAAGGTTACATAAGTCACATTCATTTTAACTATTCTCCTTTTATTTCCTCAAAGCTTCCTATTTGTCAGTCATATTTATGAAAATATATTATTATTATGTAATCTATATTATTATTCTATCAATAATTTCACTCATATGGAATTATTTATAACAGATTTAATACAATGGACAGGGGTTATTTTCTCTTTCTATTCCTGACAAATACCTTCAAAGCTCATATACCACAAATACCAACAGAGTAAGGGAAATGAAATGGGGCTAGAGAAAGAAAAAATTCAAAGAACAAAGCTCTTAAATCAAACAGTACAGACAGGTGAATGGTTCAGTTCATGAACCTGTCAAAAATCCCCTTAGAATTTTACTCTTAAAAATCTCTCCACAGGTTTGACCAAAAGAAAAAACAAACACAAACAAAACAAATACAAAACCATTCTGATACTAGCTATCAAATGAATGTCTCTTAAAGATGAATCACTATATCGGCTGCTGAAAGGCTGTGAGAACTCATCTCTTCTACCGGCTGTTTTCCCTCTGACTGTGATTTTCCCCTCTTACCTGATAGGAGCGCCTTTCGCCTGTGCTGGCCTCAACAAGACTGTTATCGTGGTGGCAGTTTCATTGAGAGAGGCATCAACTCCTTCGTAGTCAGGTAAAGTTGGAGCTGATAAATGATTAATGAGGGAAAAAGTTCCAGTCAATAAACAAGAATATATCATAGTTCAAACTGAATAAATGATCCTGATCAAACTAGTCTATCCTAAAGGAAATCAGTCCTGAATATTCATTGGAAGGACTGATGTTGAAGCTGAAGCTCCAATACTTTGGCCACCTGATGGGAAGAGCTGACTCATTTGAAAAGACCCTGATGCTGGGAAAGATTGAAGGTGGGAAGAGAAGGGGATGGCAGAGGATGAGATGGTTGGATGGCATCACCGACTCAATGGGCATGAGTTTGAGTAAACTCCAGGAGTTGGTGATGGACAGGGAGGCCTGGCGTGCTGCAGTCCACGGGGTTGCAAAGAGTCAGATGCGACTGAGCAACTGAACTGAACTGAAGGGAAAAATCAATTTAATACTTAAAATTAGACTGTACCTTAACAAATGCCACTGAATGTTAACTCTGGAACCTAAAGCAGCAGAAGATAAGAAGTTAAGACTTACTAAAATTTAAATTATAATGTGGCAACTTGTGACACACGCTCCAAACATTTTATGAAGATGTTTTAACTTCTAGTTTCCTGAGATCTTGAAATCAGCATTGATGGGATGGGGGTAAGGTGTTAATAGCATAGACTCTGGGGAGTTCCCGTTACGGAGTTGCACATGGAGATGTGGAGACAGAAATGGCAGGAACCTAGTTAAAAGGCTGCCTGGGGAGGTGGTGCTGCTTTGATCTAAAGGTTGTGTAATGACCCAGCATGATCTTGACCACTTTCACCACTGTGGTCACAATAGAGACATATCTAGGAAGTATGCTGAACGGAAACGGGCACTTCAGCTGTTAACTACCAAGAATTAGTGCCCTTGTTGCCAGATACTTAAAAATAAGAAATCTAAAAATTTTCAAAATACCTGAAAATTTTTGGGGGTAAGGAGGCTTCCTAATCCTGAACTGGGTGAATAACCTCAAATGGCTTTTGATCATTTCCATGAAGAAAGATGTTTAAGGGAGGATATGACCAGTGAAATATGTACATTACCAGAAAAACTGTGAACAAATGGTATCTAATAAAAAGTATTGCATTCACTCATTGAACATTTACTGAATACTTACTATGTATCAAACTTTACAAGAAGTGCTATAAATATAGAAGCAAATGAAGCATGGTTTTTGACATTTATAGAGTTAAAAGTAGGGATTCAGATTTATCAAGAGTGACAGTCTTGTAAACACTAACAAATTATAGAAGAATTTAGGTGACCAAAATAGGAGACAGTTAATTAGACAGTGGTTCTCAGACTAGGGAGATCAGAAACTCCTGGAGGGCTCTTAAAATAAAAATGCAGAATGCTGTTCCATTTGGCTACCGTTTCTGATTCAGAAAGTCTGGGGAGGGACCTGATAATGTACATTTCTAGGACATTTTAATCTGAAATTGATGCCGGGGGACCACACTCTTCTAAACTAGTGTTGGGAACTGGGAAGATGAAACAGAGAGGACTTCACTATTTAGGCAATGTTTGAGCTGAATATTAAGAGTAAAAGCTCATCAGAAAGAGAGAGCATGGAAAAAAATATACCAGAGATAAAAAAACAGAACACATGAAGATACCATTATGTGAAAGGACACGGATAATACAATAGTTTGCTGTGACTGGAACTTTGGATTTATGGATAGGAGAAGAGGATGAAAAGGGTCATAAAATGAAGTGCCACAAATGTTAATCATGCAAAAATGTCATACTAGACATAATATAGTAAATATATTAGATTTTGAAAAAAAATTAAGGAAGAAATAAATGTTGTACAAAGATCAATAGAAAAACAAAAAAAACACAGGAGCAGGAGTGCTCCTTAGAAAGATATGTCAATGATAGCTTTAAATACAATCCAGATGGAAAGGCAGAAACAGTGACATGAGAAAGAGGCAAATTATCTGGGTGCTGCTTAGGAAGTAGAATCAACAGATACTAAATAGGTGCAAAATGTATATGAGTGCTATTACATATGTATGTATATCATATGTGTACTATACATACACACATATGCATAAATCATACTGAGACGCATCATGCCTCCAATACCTCAATTTCACCTTAAGTTGTTTTTAAATTGCTAAAGGATAGAATTACTGGACTCAAGGGGTAAATAATGATAAATTACCTTAAAAGTTCAAGTACTTGAACTTGAACTTAACTTGTACTTGAACTTGAACTTAACCATATGTGGTTCCATATGGTTAGTATGGAACCACACTAACCATAAATTTCATTAGCCTTAGCTTGATCATTATGTATTCCCAAGATATAGCGATTGTAACCAAGATTTAAAGTTCAAAGCAAATATCCACATACTAAATTGTTTTGCTCTGTAGAATTATAATAAAAATGAACATGGAAGAACAAAAAGAATTTATATATTTTTGCCTTCAACCATGACTAACTATATTAAAGATTCAAAAAATGATGTGAATTACACTCAGTATATTTGTGATTCTTTAGAAATATGCTTTCAGAGAAGGCAATGGCACCCCACTCCAGTACTCTTGCCTGGAAAATCCCATGGACGAGGGGCCTGGTAGGCTGCAGTCCATGGGGTTGCGAAGAGTCAGACATGACTGAGCGACTTCACTTTCACTTTTCACTTTCCTGCATTGGAGAAGGAAATGGTAACCCACTCCAGGGTTCTTGCCTGGAGAATCCCAGGGACGGTGGAGCCTGATGGGCTGCCGTCTATTGGGTCGCACAGAGTCCGACACAACTGAAGCGACTTAGCAGCAGCAGGATATGCTATTACAAACCAATTCTGTTTGCACTTTATTTATTTCATACCTGAGATATTGGTGGTCACATTGATGGCTGTGGCTGGCCCGAAACCTTTGACAGTGCTGGCTCTTATGAGAAACTGGTAGGTGGTTCCTGGATGGAGATGCATGAAGACATGGTGGGTACTGTTCCATAAGTTTGATACGGTCTGGGGCGGTCCAGCCACAGGAACTGCAGGATCAAAGGATCTTATGCTGCTGTAACTGACCTGTTTTAAGAAATATTATTTCCTATTACATATCCAATACATATCTTAAATAAGATAGCACTCAAGGGCATCTGTGTGGAATGAATCACGATTTTTTCCCTTCTTTTATTTCTCATTTTGATATGGTTATTTCACTGTTATTCTGTATCTATTGTCTGTCTGTCTGTCCATCTTTATTTATCTACAGATAAACCTAGAGTTATCTGACTGGATCAATATACATCTATTTTCTTCCATCAAAAGAAAAATCAATATAATTAAATATGAATGCTATTGTTGTTTTAGTCACTGAGTCGTGTCTGACTCTTTTGGGACCCCATGGACTGAAGCCCACCAGCATCCTCTGTCCACGGGATTTCCCAAGCAAGAATACCGGAGTGAGTTGCTATTTCTTCTCCAGGGAATCTTCCTGACCCAGGGATTGAACCCATGTCTCCTGAATTGGCAGGTGGATTCTTTACCTCTGAGCCACCAGGGAAGCCATAAATATGAATACATATTTATATAAAATCTTACTGTCATATATAATGTAATGCATGTGAAACAGAAATTCCCACCAAAACTGAATCAAGAAAAAATACTTTGAACAGACCAATCACTAAAAGTGAAAAAGAAGAGTGTAATAAATTTTCTGCAAACAAAATTCTCCATTTTCATAATGTACTCTGTTGCCACTAAAACGTATTTTATACTGTAATCAACACTGAGTACTCAAGAACAGAACCTGTGCAATGAAAATGACATTTTCTTTTCATCTTTTCAGCTTTTCACATTTACAAATAAGATAATGATTTATATTCAAAGTTGAGATGAAGCTCTGGAATAGAGAGGTTTATGATATATTTTGCTTTAAAGGTATTTACCCCTACCCTAAAAGCAACTGCATTCAATGGCTTTCCCTAAATCATAGCATGAAATATGAGTTTCTTAATTTTGTAAAAATTTATTCCTTACAACCACCAGTAAGTCTGTTGGCAAGTTCCATCTTACTTCTTTAAAACAATATTTACTTAAGAATTTGAAAAGTCTAGGTACCATAATATTTGTTTTGATACTTAATTTAGAGGAATCTATAAATTAAAACAGAGAAGAACTAATAGTGATTATAATCCCCTAATTCTCATTTCCTTCTTTTCCATTATTTCTCTGATTTTTCTCTAACATGTTCTTTGATTCTCCCCTTCAATGCACATTTCATTAAACTTCTTTATTCTCCCAGTACCTCATATTGAGTGATGATTCCATTTGGATCCAAAGGTTCTTTCCAGTTCAAGAAAATCTTATTTTCAAAAGATGTTCCTTGAAGAGAATTGACCGGTACAGGGCCAGGCACTACATATAAATACATTATTGGTTATAAGGATCCTTATATCAGAAACAGAAAAAAGTAAACATGTAAGCTGGATAAACAGGTTAAAAGTAAATAAAATAAATAAAAATAAGTAAAAATAAAAAAGCCATATGATAAGCTTTTAATATATGGGAATACATGTGAATTTAAAATAAATCTCTAAGCTTCTAATGCAGATTATGTACAACTGTAAAGTTATTTTTATTCAACAGAATTTTCTATCATTGCAGAGAGCTGAATAGTGTAGTCTAGTTCTCTCTGTTGTATGCCTTTAATAATGTGAAGGTCTCATTTGTAACTTGTTTCAAGAACAGAGCTTGCCTTGAAAGATTTCCCTGAATGATTTTTTGAAGATTATCATAAGCCCCTAAAGTATCTCTATAAACAATGTTCATAAAATAATAAATAATAATAATAATTAATGCTCCTTAGACTCAAAAGCCAAACCATACGGTACTGAATTAAAATGCTCATTAATAGTCAGTCTTTCATAGGTACATTTATTACATTTCTATAATTTAAAAGAGAGCATTATTACAATGTATAAAAAACTCTTTAAGATTAATAGGTTCAAAATCATTGCTTCAGTCTTTTAAATGAAATTTCCCTTTTTCAAAGCAAAGAATCAAACCACTTTATAACATCAGACTTGTTTAGAACTCAACAATCAGCATAATTAGTTTTGAAGTGTCCCCAGGTATGACAAGATTTGAGAAACCATTCCAGCCCTTATTTGCAAATGTCATATAACTGACAATACCCAGTGGCAACAGTGAATGATGTGTCAGCTTCTATTGACAAAATACAAAATACTTTCACTATTGTGTTTTTCCTTTTATACATTTTATTTAAATATTCAGTTGCATTTATGTACATAAATATCCAGCATTTTTGTTCTCTTAATGTTTAAAAATATATCCTATCCATCCTACTTTGCTTGAAAGTATGCTTTCTCTTGAAAATATCAACCCAGTTTTTTAATTAATATTTTTCCTTAATCTAACGTTTCAGTGAAACGTTACACATGAAACTTCACACATGACATTATCTAGAAATGTAGTTTCAGAGTCTACAGCAATTTTGTGAGGATGGAAATAAATTAAAAATCACTGGATCAAAGGAAACGCATTGCAATGTGGCCAGCAGCATCAAGAAATTCTAAATGATATGTCAAAAGAGTAAGATTTATTTCAATCTATAAGGAGACGATGAATCATGTTACGACCTCTGGGATAGCCAACATAATTTGGCACATTAATAATGAATTTATGAAGGAAAAAAACCCACAGTAAACAGAGAAGATGCCAGGACTAAACTCCACAAGATATGTTTATGCATCTAATAACCGAGGGCTTGGGGAAAAGTTAACCAGAGGCATCCACTCCTTTTCACTCCTAGGCCCCCAGTACTGGCACATGCTATGCAGTCATCATGGTAGAGGGGCTGGGATGGCCTGTGCGGGGTCTGTGGCGTCTGCTGAGGCTGCTAAGGGCAGCGGTTTGTTTTGCATAGAATATCTATTGTTTCTATTCCACCCAAATGAAATAAGCTTACACCTGTAACTTAAGGGAAAGCTTTTATTCACCTTTTCCACCTCTCATAGAGGGTGGCTGTTGGGAGGAGGTGGAGGGAAAGCCCCAATTAGTGAGTAAATGTTTATTTGATGATATTATAATTACTGTAGGCATTCACCGAACATGATTTGACACACACACACACACACACACAAATGATGAAATGGCATGGATGTTTCAAATTGTTCACAAATAGGGATCATTTTAAATGTTAGTAAATTCTGCATAGAGAGAACAGTAGAATTAGAAAGCAGCCTTCCCAGAATTTGTGTATTTTTCTGCTCTCATACATGTACCACTATGTCAACGGGATTTACTTCATACATTTACGGAAATGTCTGTGAGAAGATAAGTGCTGACAGAGCTCTAATTACTGACCTTGTACTGGGGCCAGTATAGTGAATGAGAGCAAGAATTACATGAAGGTGAACACACACCCATGAAAAGTGCAGGGAAAGGAGTGTGGGGACAGAGTACATGCAATAATTTCTACATTTAAAGGAAGACAATTCTATATACAAAAAACATCTATGTGTACACATGATTTGTGCAAATACAACATGAAGTTACCAAGACCATCACCACTGCAGTCTTTATATTGCAGGAAATGTCACCTCACATTTCTACATCAACAACTTTTAACTGAGACAGAATGCTGACTTTTATTCCCCTGCTTGTAATTTATTTGGGAGCTGTTTCAGCTACAAAAGTTTTTTCACATAAGAAAATCCTTTAAAATGTAATTCTCAAAGTGGAAGAGAGGAAAATGAAATGTGAGTGGGGTAGGATAATATTAAATAAGCATTACAGCCTTTAAAATATAATAAATACACATTTAAAGAAAGCTTTCTATTAGCCAAAAAATATTCCCAAACCGGGTTTTCCTGCAGGGTTAACTTAACAATATTGATTTTTATGAATGCAAGAATAAAAAAATGAAAACGAAAACTCATACAAAAAATTCTACCTATGCATTAAAAAATGCATGTAATAAATATAAACTCTACTTTAGGGTTCTGGTGGGAAATCATTCTAGCTTTGCTCTCATGATTTATGGATGTCCCCAGAATTCTATTCATGAAATTATATTCTTTAACTAGATGACAGAAAATTTACTTTTTTATGTATATGGGGCAGCAATAATCTAGTAAGACTGACTTAATTAGATCATCACAATCCATCCATCTTCCAACAATAGATTATGATTTAGATATTCTGTCCCCCCAATTCAGAAACATTGAAACACATCAAATACCCTATGGAGAAACTGGAGTTCTGATCTGAAGACTGAATTATTTGCAAATACTTCAGAGAAAGCTTGAACTTCATTTAGTCCTAGATATAAAGCAAAACTTAAAAAAAAAAACCTTTATAGCAGAAAGAATTACTCTGCAACTCTACTACCATGAAATAATAATATACAACTCAATATCATTACAAGTAACAAAAACATTCTTCAGAAAAGCTTAAAAGGAGGGTGAAAAATAATATTGAAATTAGCCTAAATAGTTCCATTTTACTTTTACAAAATTTTTTTTAGATAAAATAAATAGAATAGTCATGAGTTTGATCAATTTTAGGACATAATTTAAATTTCCATGGCAATTCACTTCCTAACTAGTAATGTAGTCACATATATACCAAAAAATAAATTAAAAAATTTAATGCAATATGAAAAAGGAATATAATAAGCCTGACATCATTCTTTGGTTTGTGGAAAGAAAAGCAGGCTAAAAACTCAAACCAAATAATACCATCAAAATAAATTATATTTTTAGAGAATGACTAAGTGAAGTGAAGTGTTAGTTGCTTAGTCATGTCCAACTCTTTGTGACCCCATGGACTGACTGTAGCCCGCAAGGATCCTGTGTCCATGGAATTCTCCAGGCAAGAATACTGGAGTGGGCTGCCATTTCCTTTTCCAGGAGATCTTCCCCACTCAGGCATCTAACCCAGGTCTCCTGCATTGCAGGCAGATTCCTTACTCTCTGAACAACCAGGGAAGTCCCTATGACTGACTAAAGAAGTGTAAAACTTGTATAACAGAGACTTAATATCAATTAAGAAAATATATGTTTTTTTCACTTTTAAGTGTAGGCAATAAAACATGTGAGTACATTCTTTTTACTCAACTGACAAGTTATAAAATGTATAGTCTACAATGAATAAGTGAGACCTAATCAAACTTAAAACCTTTTGTACAGCAAAGGAACTAATTGATAGCTTGAAGAAAATATTTGCAAACAAGGCAAATGACAAGGGGTTAATGTCCGAATATACAAACAGCCTGTACAACTGAACGTCAAAAAAAACAAACCACCCAATCAAGAAATGGGCAGAAGCCCTAAACATTCTCCTGAAGAAGACATACAGATGACCATCTGACACATGAAATGATGCTCCAGATCCTAATTATAAGAGAAATGCAAATCAAACCCAAAATGATGCATCACCTCACATGTGTCAGAATGGCCATCATCAAAAAGTTTACAAATAATAAATCTTGGAGAGGATGTGAAGAAAAGGGAATCCTCGCACACTGTTGGTGGGAATGCAAACTGGTGCAGCTACTATGGAGAACAGTATGGAGGTTCCTTAAAAAACTAAAAATAGAACCCTAACCCTAACAATCACATGATGCAGCAATCTCACTTCTGGGTATATATCCAGAAAAGACAGAACTCTAATTCAGAGATACATGCATCCCAATGTTCATAGCAGCACTATTCACAGTAGCCAAGACATGGAAACAAACTCAAGTCCCCTTCAACAGACAACTGGCTTAAGGAAAGTGAGTGAGTGCTCAGTCGTGTCTGACTCTCTGCGATCCCAGGGACTGTATGTAGCCCACCAGGCTCCTCTGTCCCGGAATTCTCCAGGCAAGAATATTGGAGTGGGTAGACATTCTCTTCTCAAAGGGATCTTCCTGAGGCAGAGATTGAACCCGCATCTCCTGCAGCTCTTCCATTTGCAGCTGAATACTTTATCACTGATTCATCTGACTTAAGCAGGTGTGGTATAAACATACACATACACATGTAAATATACATACAATGAACTATCAGTCATAAAAAGAATGAAATATTGTCATTTACAGTAACATGGATGGATCTACAGAATATTTCAATTAGTGAAGTCAGACACAGAAAGACATATACTATATGGTATCACTTACATGTGGAATCTAAAAACAGTGCAAATGAATCTATATACAGAACAGAAAGAGACTTAGTTATTAAAGGGGAGATGGAGGGAGGGAGAGACAAAGTAGGAGTATGGGATTAATGGGTACAAGCTACTATACATAAAATAGATAAGCAACAGAATCTACTGTATACAACATGGAATTATATTCAGTATCTTACAATGAACTGGCTCCAAATTGGGAAGCGAAAATGTTAGGCTGTATATTGTCACCCTGCTTATTTAAATTATATGCAGAGTTCATCACGTGAAAAACTGGGCTGGATGAAGCACAAGCTGGAATCAAGTTTGCAGGGAGAAATATCAATAACCTCAGATATGCAGATGGCACCACCCTTATGGCAGAAAGCAAAGAGGAACTAACGTGCCTCTTGATGAAAGTGAAAGAGGAGAGTGAAAAACTTGGCTTAAAACTCAACATTCAAAAAATGAAGATCATGGAATCTGTACCATCACTTCGTCACATATAGATGGGGAAACAATGGAAACAATGACAGACTATTTTCTTGGGCTCCAAAATCACCAGATGGTGACTGCAGCCATGAAATTAAAAGACGCTTGCTCCTTGGAAGAAAAGCTATGACCAACCTAGACAGCATATTAAAAAGCAGAGACATTACTTTGCCAACAAAGGTCTGTCTAGTCAAAGCTATGGTTTTCCCAGTAGTCATGTATGGATGTGAGAGTCGGGCCATATAGAAAGCTGAGTGCTGAAGAATTGATGCTTTTAAACTGTGGTGTTGGAGAAGACCCTTGAGAGTCCCTTGGAAAGCAAGGAGATCCAACCAGTCAATCATAAAGGAAAATCAGTCCTGAATATTCATTGGAAGGACTGGTGCTGAAGTTGAAACTCTAATACTTTGGCCACATGATATGAAGAACTGACTCTTTGGAAAAGACCCTGATTCTGGGAAAGACTGAAGGCAAGAGGAGAAGGAGATGACAGAGGATGAGATGGTAGGATGACATCACCAACTCAATGGACATGAGTTTGAGCAAGCTCCAGGAGTTAGTGATGGACAGGGAAATGGGGTGTGCTGCAGTCTACGGGATCGCAAAGAGCTGGACATGACTGAGTGATTTAACTGATCTTAAACTATTCTCTAGGGCATCTTCCTGAGCCAGGGAATGAATCCTGGTCTCTCACATTGCAGGCAAATTCTTTACCATCTGGGCTATCAGGAAAGCTACCAAATAAAATATAATGGAATATAATGTTAAAAAACAATCTGAATCACATTGCTGTACAGCTGAAACTGACAAAATATGGTAAACAAACTATACTTAAGGCCTCGTGTAATCAGGCATAGCATTACTGCACTTTATGAAATGAGATAGATATTTTTACAGAGCTTTTGAATCCATGCTTAGACTTCCCATTTTGATACTCTACCTATGAAACAACTAACTACATTCAACCATTCTTTCTTTCATAAGCATGTGTGTTGTATGTGTACTGTGGGGGGAGGCAATACAAGTGTTTATGTGTTAGATCAGGGTTTGTTCTTTATAATATTGTTAATGTTTTGATTAAGTGCAAGTTCAAACATGAATCTGTGAATTATTTCAGGTGAATTTGTTCTATTATTTCAAAGATGACAAAAGTACATTTATCATAAATAAGTCTTTGAAATTTTAGGAATATGCATAATTTTAGGGCAAGATTGTTTCCTTGAAAATCTGAGCTAAATGAAGTATATTTATTTCAACAAAAACAGCAAAACAATACATGATCATTTCATTTCTCAGAGTGAAAATGTTTAAAGTGATAAGGAGAATTTCTAGAAACTATGGTATTATTGACCTATTTTATGGCAATCTCATACTTGCAGGCATCAAAATATACATCTGAGACTAAAGTTCAGAATCTGAGGAAATTGGGAACACTATACTAGGGTATGAAATACATCCTGTTTTCTGAAACCCAAATAAAAATGTAGCCCTCCTGACAAGCTATTCAAGGAAAATTTTAGAACAGGATGGACCTTTAGAGATCATCTAATTTAAACTTTTCATATAGAGCTGAGAAGTAGAGAATTAGAGGGGTGAAAGGACTCACTAAGGTTACGAGTGTTATTTGAGCCAGGATTGAAAACTCACGATTCCTGACTCCCAGTTCAGGGTTCCTCAATTCACTATATAGCATACTTTTTTTTCCTTCTTGCATACTTTCATTCATAAAAGGAAGTTTTGAAAATGAAATGTCTTACTTTGGAAGCATATAGTGTTATTATTATATTACTTTTGTCTAAGATACATTTTTAAAACTAGAAAATTGTATTCATAGTCACATTAATGATATGCTATAGTAGAAGTGTGTATAATTCATAATATTAATATAAATGTTTCTTCCTAGTATTTAATAATTTAGAAGTAATACACACAGAAATTGGGCAAATTATAATTCAATTACTTGGGTAGTAAATAAAAGATGATAGCTTGCCAATATCTGATACAGATCTTTATTCAGACTTAAAAATATAAACTTTGGCCTTCTTTTATATTTATAATTAAATAAAACTATCTAAAAACGAATATAACAGGTAAACAATATTGCTTTCAAATCTAGGAAATGAGAGCTATTACTATTGGTCTGTAAAATGCAAAAAACTAAATTTTTAGTTAAGTGCATTTCCCCAATAGGTAATCAATATGGTGCCACAAACAGTAAAAATTATTTTTGAACATTTAATATAATCCATATTTAGACTTTTAGTATAGTTGCCAATTTTCTAACATTGCATAAAGACAAAACAGTAAAGGAAGTGTTCATCTAGTATTTGATGCTACTGTGAAGAATATTAAGATTTTTGTTTAAGACAAACTATTTTCAGAGTTAACCCTGTTAAGAGTATTTAGCAGATTTTAGAATCCAATTCAGTTTTAGGATCTCTAGGCAAAACTGTAAGAGAGTGCATAATCCTGTGATAGAATCTCGCCTTTAAAAAGTAAAGAAGTATGACCATACCATCTTCATCAGTTTGAATAATCGTCTCTTCACTCTCCTTCCTGCCTTCTGGATTGGTGAGGATCATCTTGAGGCTGACGTTTGTATATGGCGGCAGATGGTTCACAACATGCTGAGGGGCTTTGGGGTCCATGTCCAAACAGCCTGCCTTGCTCTCATTGTGACCACGGAAGAAATGGTAGCAGATAGTGACATTAAACGTGTGGCACCGGGTGATGTTGTAGCCCAATGATTCCCAGTCCACAGCTATGCGCCTTGCCTGGATTTCAGCAATCTTTAACGTCTTTGGGGTTCGCATAGGTTCTGAAAAATAAATCAGGTATGCAGACAGCTGTCAGCTTTACCACGAATCATCTTGAAAAAGAATAACACTGCACACGACACAACATGTGTGAACCTAAGAAAATCGGAAAGTCGTTGTTCATTGTTTCTTTATTTACTCATGATCTTACTTTATTTGGGGGGCCACGCCATGTGGCACATGGAATCTTAGGTCCCCAACCAAGGGCTGAGCCTGTTGAACCTGTACCCCCTGCAGTGGAAGAGCAGAGTTTTAACTGACCACCAGGGAAGTTCCTCATGATTTTGTTCTTGAGGTTTCTGTCAGGGGCTATGATTTCCCAATGCAAAAAGAAAAAGAAAAAACTGTCAAAGGTCCATAGTCCATAGTTCTCAGGAACATGGCAGAAAAATAAAAACCTGAAAATGTGGCCATGACGCTTTTATAGTTGTTTCTGTTGTTACTGCCCTATTCCCCATCTTTTGTCAATATTGAGCAAGTGAATTAGCTAATACATCATAATGGATAAGAGTCAACATGTTCTGCTCTATGATTTATCATGTCACCAAGCTATGCTGTATACTAATTAGTCTAATTGTATCACTAAACTACCATTTACAAAAATGACGCAGATATTAATTAACATTTATAATTTCAGTAATGATGTTGTTCATCAAAGCAGAAAAATATCTGAGAAAAACTGCAAGAACACATGTGGATATACACACAGTCATCTATCCTTTTTGATCTCTTTTTGTCTTTCTCTAGGAAACACTCAGGTTTGACAATCCATAGAGTGTCACCCAAACCAAACTGGGAGGTGAATTTCCATTCAACTGGAAAATTCTGGCAGAACTAAACACTCTGAAGAATTGAGTCTATCCATCACTGCTTCCCAAGTGTATAGTTTTCTCATGCAAGACTAACTTTAATCGTCTAACTTAATAAAAATAATTGCTCTATGAAAGTCATGGCCATGGCAAAGTCTACATAGTAAACAAATATACAGCAAAACTTTAATACATTGATTTGACAAAGAGATCAACGTCAAGGCCGAGGTCAAGGCTTTGTTGGTGACTGTTAACTAATTAGGGATTGTCAGTGCTCCTGCAAAATAGAAATGAGTAGGAAAAAAGCAAAGAAAAATAATAAAAAATACAAAAAAAATCCAACATGAGTGTTTTTATTAATTTTCTTTTTTTAAGATTAAAATCTTAGTTGTGTAAAAATAATCAGGATGGTGCACAGATGGCAAGCCTAAATTACACTCTGGTGGCCATTTAATTTAAAACTATAAGACTATATACACACACACATATATACATATAAACTTTTGGTAGAACCCAAAGTTTAGGTGCTCCGTCTGCTGATCTTCTGACTGTTTACAATATCCAGTCTCCCTATTTTATCACTTTTTCTTCAGTGTTTCTCTTAAGAATGTTAAATAGGCTAGAACAAAGATGTGGTTTTCAATCATTTTTAAAAAAAAATCTTTAATGTCTACTGCTATGTTAACGTTTTTCCCACCAGGCGCAAGAGTGAGATGATGACACTTTCATTTCCATCTAGTTAGACTGAAAACACAGTCTTTGGCACCACTGTCCACAAACTGGCCAGACACTCATAGATAGGATCATCCAAAATTTCCCAGATAAACTGTGATCTGTGATTGGTGTAATAATCACATGAAACTGAGTGACCCTGTTGCAGTTAGTCCACAGTTTATTTGAAACGTATATAGAATGAAAAGTAAGACTTTTCCAGAAAATACCTGGCATATATAATGAAAATATCTCATATAGCAATAAGAGAAAATAGCAATAAGCATTCATTTCTCAGTTTTAATTTTTTAGGTCTAGTAGCTATATACTTTTTTCATTTACCCTTCATTTTGAATCTGACATTTTACCCTTTACAAATTTCTCTTTGTCCAAGTGATCACTCACTCTCACACATCTTTTCATTTTATTCCACTATTCAATTTGCACTTACCCTGCATTCTAATACAACTTTAAAAGACTAAGAAAAGCATAAAAGAAGTTGAAGAAGATACAAATGAAAGATATTCAATGCTCATGGATTAGAAAAATCAATATTTTTAAAATAGCCATAGTACCAAAGTAATCTACCAAGTCAATTTTCATCTCTATCAAAATTCCAATGGCATTTAAAAAAAAATAAAACAAATAATACTAAAATTTGTATGGGACCACACACACACACAAACCCAAAGAGCCAAAGCAATCTTGAGAAAGAACAAAGCTGGAGGCAACATGATCCCTGATTTCAAACTATATTATGAAGTCATAACAATTAAAACAGTATGATACTTGTATTAAAACAGAAACATAAGTCAAAGAAACACAACAGAGAGCATAGAAATAAATGCATACATACCTGATCAACTAACTTATGACAAAGGAGTCAAGAACATACAATGGGGAAAGAACTATCTCTTCATTAAATCATGTTGGGAAAATTAGACAGTCAAAGGAATGAAACACAACCACTCTTTCATGCCATATTCAAAAATTAACTCAAAATGAATCAAATATCTGAAAGTAAGACCTGAAACCATAAAACTTTTAGGAAAAAATCTTAGGCAGTAAGCTTTTTGACACAGGTTCTGGGCAATGATTTTTTTGAATCTGACACCAAAAGCAAAGGAAACAAAAGCAAAAAAAAAAAAAAGTGAGACTACATCAAACTTATGAAAAAGTAACCACCTCAGGGGGAGAAATTATTTGCAAATCATATATCTGATTAGTTAACATCCAAAATACATAAATAACTCCTACAATTCAACAGAAAAAAAATGATTGAAAAATATCCAGAACATCCAAATAGATATTTCCCAAAGAAGACATGCAGATGGTCAACATGTACATGAAACAATGTTCAATATCATTAATCATCAGGGAAATAGAAACCAAAAGCATAGTAAGATATCACCTCATACATATCAGAACGGCTGTCATCAAAAAGACTAGAAATAGAAAGTGTTGCTGAGGATGTTGAGAAAAGGGACGCATTGTGCACTGTTGGGAACATAAATTGGTGCAGCCACTATCGAAAATAGCATTAAAGTTCTTCAAACAATTAAAAATAGAACTACCAAATGATTTAGCAATAACAATTCTGGGTATGTACCTGAAGAAAATAAAAACATTAACTCAACAAGATATATGCACCCCCATGTTCATTGCAGCTATCTTAGAAGGAAACAACTCAAGTATCCATCAAGGGGTGAATATGTAAAGAAAATATATTTCATATATGTATATATGCAATACAAATATACATATGTACAATAGAATACTATTAAACCACAAAAAAGAATGAAACCTTGGCTTTTGCAACAACATGGGTAGATTTCCAGGGTATTATGCTAAGTGAAATAAATCATATAGAGAAAAACAAATACCATATAATCTCTCTAACATGTGGGGTTGTAAAAATAAAAACAAAAAATAACTCCCCCCAAAGATCATAGATTAGTTATAGAGAACAGATTGACATTTGCCAAAAGCAGTGGATGGGGTGTCAAGAGAAATGAGTTAAAGGGGTATAAATGTATTAAAAAATAAAATGAAATAAAACTTTAAAAGGAATCTGTTTTACAGATGTATGATACAACTTCTTTGGTAGGACAGGAAGAAATTTTTAACTTTGGCAATGAGTAGAAACTATAAGGCCAATAAACGCACCCCCTCCCCCCTGCCAAAAAAAACAAAAAACAAAAGAAGCAGACAATCATAGGAATGGTTTAAAGGTTACACAAGACTTTAGGGTGTAGTCATCATAGAGAGACCACCTTTCAATTTAGAGGAATATATGCATCCTTTTTAAAAAAGAAAGAAATAATAAAGTGTACACATGAATATGAAAAAAGTAGACATGCAAAAAATGTTAAAGAAAAAAAAAGCTACTTAATACTTCATAGACTAAAATTTGCCTGTTATATTACTGACTACATATTAACATTTTTTCCCAAGATAATCATAAAATAATTTAAAAAATTATTTTCTCTATTTATAAACTTAAATATTTACAAAAATAAATAGAAATTTTCTTTTCCTAACTAATCTCATTATATCCAATTTCTTTTGCCTTCTGGCTTCCCTTATTCAACCCCTTTATGGAGTACTGAAAATAGGAAATGTACGTGCTATTCGAGGTCTGCTCAGCTGCTGCAGTTAGCTGACTGCCTATTAGAACTGCTTCACATTCTGAAGAGCCCTAGAGCAAGTCAGAGTTTGCAGGAGCTTGGCATTTCTCTAGGCATGGAAAAGCAAGAAGAGATGCAAATGTATGCACAATGAAGGACTCACTGTCAAAAGCAGAAATAACTCACCACTCCCCACATTTTATTCTCCTATTTCAATTTTTTAATTTTTAAAATAAAAGTACATCCAGACACTCTTAAAGACACAATTTTACATACTCAATTATTCATTTTTAAGAACTGACCAAAGACATATTTATTATGTAGTATGTAAAAAAATACAGAGTTCACTTTGAGAATTTTGCTTTGGTGTATTTAATTGCTGCTTACTTTGACACTAATATAAATTAGATTTTAAAACTCTAATTCAAAATCTGGAAAAGGTAGGTTAACATATCCTATACATATGTGCATAAACCACAATCACAGTACCAGTAGTGAATACTTTACTAGCTGGTATAAAAAGTGAAGATTTGTGAAAAGAAATACCTTTCTAGTAAGCAAAGAATCTTTCTACACAGTCAATATGGTATTTAAAATCTGTATTTTTCACAATGACTTGAATAAATGCTAAAAAATGAATTGTTACTACTAATATAGTGACTTAAAATGTAATTTTACTCTAACCTATGGCAATATTCAGAAACCCACATACAACAAAGTAAACACACACACACATACAGAAGCACATCTAAAGTCAAAACTCAATTATTTTGAGCTCTAAGGTATCTGCAATAACTCAAAGGAAGTCGCTCTCTAATTAAATTTTTTCTTAATTTACATGTTCTTTATTTTTTC